GACTGAGTACTGTGACAAAGCCAAGGGGCAGGAAGATTACTCACGGGCATGAAGGTGTTTCCACTTTACTAACACAACCAGTATGTGAATTACAGTTTACCAAAGTTCTTTCATCATCATTTCATTTGATCCTTAGGAAAAAAAAATCTCAAAAGACAGGCAGGACAGCTCTCAGCACTTTCAGCAACATGATGAGGAAGCAGAAGTAACAAGCATAGATTGTGCTTTCAGGAAGTTTGGTGGTATTTCTCATTACACATTTCATCTGCAATAATCGGTATCTACTATTTATGTAGAGATTCTTCAAGGCCAACCATAATATGAGCAAATAGTTCCAGGGAACAATAGTAACTTAAAAACAGACCTCCCTAGAGCTTCTCATGTTTCCTTGACGGCTAAATCGAGTATTTGATTCCAATAGCATTAGAATCTGGAAAGATTTTAAAATACTCCTCGGAAACAAAGGCCTTCAAACGCACACTGTTTAAAATGGTAACAGTTCATTTTCCCCTCTGGTTTCACCAGCCTACGAACCTAAGTTTCATGGGACTCGTAGATGTCCGCCCTAGGCATGCTCTCCCATTAGCTCTTCTCATCTAAATACGCTCTGGGGGCTCAAATGTAGGATCTTTTATTTGTCCAAAGAGCGAACATGAAGACAAGTCCCTGGTAGAACCGAATCAACAGAACCAAGAGAGACACTGTTGGAGAGAAACGCAATGAGTGCACGGATTGTCCCAATGTGGTAAAGGGCCATCCCGCCCTGATCCTGTAAACCCTTTAGAGCTCACAGCTTGAAACAACTTTTCCTTCCCAAGTCCTGGATCCCCGAGTGGCCGCACAATCGGGCTCAGGAAATAGGAAAGAGGGAGGTTAGAATCTTCCCGAAGGTGCTCCCATTTTACTAATACAGCTCAGGGCATGAATTAGAGTCTAGCAAAGTTCTTTCATCATCATTTCATTCGATTCTCAGGGACATCTCAAGACGCAGGCAGGTAGCTCTCACCGATACCCCCGCAGGCCCAGTGGGGCCAAGTGGATTATCAGCTAGGGAATGGCAGAGACAGGATAAGAGTCCTGCGTGTTGCCTCTAAATACTGTGCTTTTTCTCTCTACACAGCGCAGCCTTGTCACACTCATACGATTTCTGGTTTTTGCTTTTGTTTCCAGAAGGAAAAGGCTCTCCTTCTCTTTGCCACAACAGGACATAAGGCCTGTGCATGTTTGGTCACCATGCAGAGTTAGGAAAAGGAATAACAAACGATAAACAGGACATGAGTGCGCCAACACACGTGGCACAGGTAGGAAGCATTCCAGAATGTCACGAGGAAGGGGAGACCATGAACGGTGATCGCTTTTATTCTTCTTAAACACTTGCTTCAGGCAGTCACTTTCTCCAGTGATTGTAATAGCCGTGTATTTCTAAACGCGGAGCCATTGAGTGCCTTTAGGACTTTCTGGATTCTTAGAGGAGTTTATTTATTTTATTTATTTATTTTTTTGATTTTTATTTATTTATGATAGTCACATACAGAGAGAGAGGCAGAGGGAGAAGCAGGCTCCATGCACCGGGGGCCTGACATGGGATTCGATCCCGGGTCTCCAGGATCGCGCCCTGGGCCAAAGGCAGGCACTAAACCACTGCGCCACCCAGGGATCCCTCTTAGAGGAGTTTAAACTGTGACACCTTTGTCAAGCTCCGGGGACGGACAAGGGATGAATCACTGTCTCTTTCATTCCTCCACAAACGCACAGACAGACAGAGAATATGACAGATCGATCATTACCAAACTCAGTTTAAATATGGATTTTTTTAAATTTTTATTTACTTATGATAGTCACACAGAGAAAGAGAGAGAGGCAGAGACACAGGCAGAGAGAGAAGCAGGCTCCATGCACCGGGAGCCCGATGTGGGATTCGATCCCGGGTCTCCAGGATCGCGCCCTGGGCCAAAGGCAGGCGCCAAACCGCTGCGCCACCCAGGGATCCCCCCAAACTCAGTTTAACACAACATTTTAAAGGATTCAACTGTGCAAACTGCTGTTCTAGGCCCTGTTAGGGGAGAGAAATGCACGGACAAACCATGTGCAATTCCTAACCCTCCCTCAACTTTGTGAGGTTAGCTTCGAAGGTGGGTTTGAATCTTAGCCCTGACACTTAACCATTGCATGATCTGGAACTGGTTCCTTATTTTCTCTGTTCATCATTTCTTAAAAAAAAAAAAAAGAAAGAAAAGAAAAAAGAAAAAAAGAAAAAAATCTACGTTTATGGCCATGATTTGGAACTAGTTCCTTATTTTCTCTGTTCATCATTTCTTAAAAAAAAAAAAACAAAAACTACGTTTATGGGGCTGTTAGGAGGGTTTATTTATTTTATTTTTATTTTTTAATAAAGACTTTATTTATTTATTCATGAGAGACACACACAGAGAGAGGCAGAGACACAGGCAGAGGGAGAAGCAGGCTCCATGCAAGAAGCCTGATACGGGACTCGATCCCGGGACCCTCGGGTCACGCCTTGGGCCAAAGGCAGATGCTAAACTGCTGACCCCCCAGGGATCTCCTGTTAGGAGGGTTTAGTGGGAAAACGGGTATATAGTGTTTTGAACAGTTCCCGGTACAGAGTAAACTACTATTTGTTGTCCTTATAATATAACATGTCATTATTTTGAAGCTCTTACACTCTGGAAGAGAGACTTAAGCACAGCTAAGTCTGATAGAAATGATCAGCAATCTGAGGCATAATCGCAACGCTCTGCAAAACAGGTGCTTTCTCGTTATGGTTTGTTTTGTTTTAAAGACAACACCCTAAAATTAGCCTTGGGAACAAAGGAATAAACCAAGAGGAGTTGAGCATTTCTCCAGGTTCTATGAATACTATGCCCTTCTGCCACGAAATGAAAAACGATGTCTTCGAAACATCAGTCAGATGCAACACAGGATTATATATGAGAAAGCGGTCTAGCTTTTGAATTCCGCAAGTCAGCCAGCTCAGCAGAGGGAATTCCAGAACAGAATGAAAAAACTAGAATGAATAGCCCTTTAAGGGTCCCTGCGATTTCTGAAATTCCGTGATTCCACGGTCGACACACTTAATGGACTTTCCAGATATAAAACTAAGACAATACAGAAAAATATCTTTTTCAAATGGTAGTCCCCTCCCTCTTTTTTTTTTTTAAGTTTTTCTTCCTTGAGTTTTCTCAATTACCTTTTGAAAAACCGGCCTTGGAACAGAATTAACGTTTACTTCATGAAGAAAGAGGAGTTATTTTGAATGAGTTGGGTCGAGGAGGGAGGAACTCTGCTGAACAAAGTCCTTGGGGAAGTGAATGGTTTATTGATTCAGTTTGTGGTCTACAGTTGAGGTGCATGTTGACTCAGGACTCAGGCCTGTGCCATTGCGGGGTGTGAGGAAATTTAAGAGGAAAGCAGAGCAAATGCACACCTTCGAAATACGGGCTGGGAGGGTGTAAATGGGACTAAGCATCATGTATTAATTACAGTGAGGAAGGGAGGATGGGAAGGATGGAAATCAGGAGAAAACCTTACTTGAAATTTGCTACAGGTAACCTTTAGAAATATTGGCTAGTGTCTATCCCATCCGTTGTTTTTTCCTAAGGCAGCTAACTGTTCACGTGTCCGGTTTTCTCAGTATTCATTCACGCGTGGGTTCATCCAGCAAAAATATGCTGGTTATTTATAACATCCAAGCCTTGACCAAGAGGAGGAGGACTCGGCCCTGACCAAGGTTACTCTTCAGCGATGGAAATCGCCAGAGAGAAAAGAGAAGAGGGGCGAAGGGGAGCCTGGACAACCCCGAGCGAAAACCCACAAATGATACAAACTTGCTGGACAGTCTCATCATCTGAGCTCTCCCCCGGCCCCCACCGTATCCCTGGGTAATAATCTGGGCAGATATTCAACTGATTTCAGTAGTAAAACAACAGCACTTGCTAAAAATACAAGGCCATCAAAAATACAGATGAAACCCTAAGGGGGGAGACTTGAGAATACCCTCCTCCTGAAAAGGTGGACATAGTGTCATGTGGTTAAGGTGGAACATTCCTCCCACTTCCCGCGGTGGATCACGCAGCACTTGCACCATTACAATCACTCCCCAGATTGGACCCCGACTCCCGGATTTATGAAATAAGTATTTTCAAAAGAGGCCGTTGCCTCCACACAACTCCTTTAATCAGCAGTGGGAGGACTGACTCGGGCCATGGTGCCAAGCTTTCTTCGCGGCGCCTGCGACTGCACGGGGCTCCCTCGGCCTCCCTCACTCCAAAGGGTAAGAAGATCACATGAATTTTTAAATGCAGATTTTTGGACTATACAGTTCTTTTTCATCTTCTGGCAAGTGATTACGAGACTCAATCAAGATTCTTCTGTGTATCATTAGCTAATTTTAGCTTCCTCCCTTTTTATTTACTTATTTATTTATTTTTTGCAGTGACTTTGGGAGAGCCCGGCCTCAAGTCCTCTGTGGCTTTCCCGTCTTTCTGCTCAAGCCTTGAGGGCAGCTCAATTAGGGAGTCGGAAAATAGTGATTAAAAGTGATTAGGCCGCGACGATTCGGTGCCACGGAGCGTGGACTCCGTCCTCTCCGTCACAACCCGAACCGAGCGGCAGTTTTTGGTTTTGATTATAGCTTTACTTGCTATTTTTTTTTTAATAAACATGAGCCGGTATTCAAACTTTTAATATCCTGCTGCTTAACTCTTTCCAAAGAGACATCCAGCGCTCTTAAACAGCTTTTGTTTTAAAATTTTAATTTGTTTGGCCAGGTCTCACCTTAGAAAGTTGTAGCCTCGTGGTAAACTCTTGTATAAGTTGATTTCCAGAATCAGAGGCAATTCTTTTTTTCTTTCCTCCCCTCCCAACTAAGTGTTTCCTCATGTGCCAAGATTGTTGGTGCTGACAGCTTTTTTTTTTTTTTTTGCTTGTTTTCTCGGGCCTTGGTCTGTCTGGTCCCCCAGCAAGTGCAAGGTGGTACTTACAGCTCCTCCAGGAAGCGGAGACGGGCCAGGGCGCTCGGGGGCAGCTGGCTGATGTTGTTCATACTGAGGTCCCTGGAGAGGAAGGACAGACAGCACGTGAGGGGTTGCGAGTGCCACCGCGGGGAAGTCCAGCCGCTCGCTGCACACGCTTTCAAGCAAACCAGCCAAACCACCCCACTCCTCTGCTTGCCAGGTGAGCTGCTACTTTGCCTCTGAAGCACAGCCTCCCCGCAGCCCAGCGCATCCCGGGTGCCCTGCGCCACAGTAGAGTAACTGCAAAGGATCCAGACTGTTCCCGGGCATGGTTTGCCCCACCCAGTGTTTTTTTTTTTAATATTTTATTTATTTATTCATGAGAGACACACACACAGAGAGAGAGGCAGAGACAGGCAGAGGGAGAAGCAGGCTCCCTGCAGGGAGCCCGATGTGGGCCTCGATCCCGGGTCTCTAAGATCAGGCCCTGGGCTAAAGGCAGGTGCTCCACCGCTGAGCCACCCAGAGGTCCCCCCACCCCGTGTTTGAAATGACATGAGGCAGACAGCAGAGGGACCAGGCGTAACTCGGGCTGGGACAGAACCCAATGTTGCATCTTGCTCTGAATTTGGCCACAAAAAGCAACGTCTTCAGCATGCAGCTCTGCAAGGCTACAAGCACCTTGTACAAACCACTGTTTTGATTCAAGGAAACTTAAAAAAAAACAAAACAAAACAAGACAAAACAAAACAAAACAAAAGGCCTATTCCCTCCTTCTAACATGTTCCCTTTGCAGGTTCTCGGATTGCATTAAATACGTGAAATGAACCATAAAACAAGGGTGTAATGTGATCCTGCTCTGTAGCACACTTCCTGCTGGGCCGGCACAGTAGTTCCTGGCACAGGAAACAAGCCACTTTGGGCAGAACTCAATCAATTTTTGTTTTAAGGGAAACGCCGTGTAATTAGATTTTATTCTGTTTTTTATGTTTCTGTTTCTTTACTGTCTCCCGCATAACCCCACAGCATGGTTGACATCTGCCATCTGTATCGCAGAGGACAAAAGACCTACGATGGTGGGACAGATTGTCATTAAGACCAGCTAAGACTTTATGCAACAGTCAGCGGAAGGATGACTTAAAAAAAAAAAAAGTCCTCCTTGCTCAAACCTGAAGATTCAGATTATATTCAGGATTCATTATGATCTCAGGTCAGGTGTACAAACTTAAAACTTCGCTCAGGATAAGACAATGGGCTTTTTATTAATTATTTAAAAATGGACTCAATTGGCATAGGACATGGTATTAATTTTCGGCGTCCGACGTGATGAAGTGATATATGTCTATACTGCAAAACGATTACTGCACTAAGTTAAGCTAACATCCATCACCGCACATTTTTTCTTGCAATGAGAACTCTTAAGATTTACTCTCGTAGCAACTTTCAAATAAACAACCCAGAATTATTAACTATATTCGTCCTGCTGTACCTTATATCCCCCGAAATTTGTTTCTCATATAATTGGAAGTTTGTATCTTTTGACCACCTTCACCTATTTCACCCATGAGCTTTTTAAAAAAATCCGAATTATTCCTGTTATTTAAGTGGCCACCCCCCATAGCTTCTGACCAGCTGATGTCAGTATGGATTGCTTGGTTCCTTTATCAAATATTAACTTTTTTAAAAAATAGATTTTTATTTATTTGAGAGAGAGAGAGAGCAAGAACATGAGCCGGGCGAAGGGAGAAGCAGACTCCCCGAGGAGCAGGGAGCTAGACGTGGGACTCGATCCCGGAACCCCGGGATCACGAACTGAGCTGAAGGCAGACGCTTAACCAACCGGGCCACGCAGGAGTCCTTAAATATTAACTTTTAATCATTGATGGAAAGAATTGAGGGATCGATCATTTACTCTTTAACAAGTCAGCAATATACAGGGAGATAAATTATTCAGTTTAAATGTTTCAGATGTATGCTTAAAAAATTATAAATTTTATTATCTGCTACTGAGCAGTTTATAGCTGAGCAAAATGCTATATTCTCAAGCGCAAACTAAACCATGCCAAAAATACACACTAAAAAAACCCTTATGTTTCCGTTTATTACAAATCGGGGTGATTTTCAGTCGAGGTAAGAGTGCCAAATAATTGATTAGCAATTTAAATTTGTCATGCAGATATTGCTGTGTAGTAGCAAAAGTGTATTAGTTCACTGAACAGACATGGATTAAACTACTCAATGAAGTTTCTGGATTCCTCACGGGGATGTACAATCCCTGCGACGTCTAGAGAGATCTCAGGTGCTCACTTATGTCTCGTTGACAGCCCACTTACGTTCTAAAAGAATCAAGGGGGTTTGCTTTGGGAGCACGTTGATTAGCAACCCTGATCAAACCAGTTCCAATGTCAAGGCAGCTGGTAGGGCTGGCACTAAGTTTCCTGGCCTCTTGGGTTTGCCTGCGTGATGTGCAAATGAGTTTGGGACAACCTTCGCTCTCGTCTATAGTCAGAAAGCTCTAACTAGAACAAGGGAATTAAATGTTAAGGAGTTCATAAACATTCCACGTTGTTTTGACTTATTATCCTATTTCAGGTTCCTGGCAGTGCAGCTTATATAAGCCTTTGCTCCCAGGGTTTCCCCTGGAACAAGCGTGTAGTGTCTTGGGTTTGAATCCTGACTCTCCACTTCACAAGCTGCGTGGTCTTGGGAGAATTAATGTCCGCGTGGCAGGCTTCCTTGTATTTAAACTCGAGTGTCCCTGGATGAGTAGTTTATGCTATTAGAGTATTGCTAGCTGTTTCCAGTCAAGAGTGACTTGTTTCTTAAAGAGTGTGTCCCCTTCCCAAAACGATTTAGTAACGTCTCTGTGTTACCTGATGCTGGGGGTTCCTCTCAGAAAATGAGCAAATGCTGCTAAACTGTCCCTTTACCACTATTTTCTAAGACATCTGTTTTCTTTTTTAAAGATTTACTTAATTAATTAATTAATTAATTAATGTATTTATTTGGGAGACAGCAAGTGGGGAGGGCGAGCGAGAGAGAATCTGAAGCAGACTCCCCGGCGAATGCAGAGCCTGGTGTGGGGCTCAAACCCGCGACTGCAAGATCAGGACCTCAGCTGAAACCAAGAGTTGGATGCTCAACCAACTGAACCACCCAGGCGCCCCGAGTCTGCTTTCTTTTAAAGAACTTCCAAGCAATGCGTGTAAGCTTATGGCAGAAAAACAGCTTCTAATATCAATAGGGTAAAATGAAAGTGGGCCTCTGAAATATAAATTCAAAGCAGATAAGGTAAAAAAGAATTTGTCTGCATTCCCTTTTTTCTTGTGTTAACCTTTGCATTGATAGTCAAGTGGAACACGGGGCCTCTAGCTCGGTGCTTCCCAAACTAAACTATCCATCCTGAAAGACCAACTTTAAAAAATTCTGAATTTGCCGTGGGTTTAAAATTCTTTTTTTAAAAAAATAGTAAAATTAATTACTAGGAAAGGGAACTGAAAACACTAAAATGCATAAAACAGGAGCTGAATACTTTGTTATGTGATTCGACAGAGATTATTCAGTTACTATAAAAATTTCCAAATCTTTACTCTCAAATTCTTATCTGTTGTGGATCAGTAAAAAACAGCCTTGTGCTGGGAAGGACGCTTCCCTGGACCACTCTTTGATTAGCAATGCTCTTCTTGGTTTCATGTCAATTTTGAGTTAAAAATGATAGAATGAGAACATTAAAACTCTGTACAAAAATACTCTCTTTCTTACTTAAATGATTTGTAAAAACCTTTCTTTTTAGTATTTGGTCTCTCTGGCACCCGGAACACATATAACTTTAGCAGGAAATCAGGAGTCTTAAAATAATTTCCAAACCCGTACACGTTTATTTTTCAAAACAATGATTTTAAAAGGCAGCCTCATGTTGCACCATATTTTGTCTATAATTCAGTTTCCTAACATTGGTGAAACAACGTGATGGATTTCTTTAATTTTTTTCATCTTTTGCCAAGATGTGGGAATTAATTTTGAAGAAGTGGCCACCATGCACCAAGATTTCATAAGACACGGAGGGTTTACTGTGACAAGATGCTCAAATATGTTCACCCATCCTGCCCTGCCTCTGACCCAGCTCTTGGTGGTGGTGTGTTGATGACCATGTCTGGAAATCTAGAACCGGGGGCTCCAAGGCTCTATGGGAGCAGTTGACTATGTATTGGAATCACCTCAGGAGCTTTATGGGATATTGAGGTCTGCGTCCCATCCCCAGAGCGCCTGAGTTGATTGGTCTAGTATGGGCACGGAGATGTTGAAGACCTTTTGCTGTGATTGGAACATTCAGGCAAGGAGGCCCCCCCCCCAAATTTCCAGATGAGTTCTCTGAGCTCTGTGACTCACTTAAGAATTCAGGAGGCCTAACTGTACCCTAGGAATAGACTTCCGTCCAAGCAGACGGTAGCTCTCTCCTGCCAATGTCTTCGTTGCCTGCAGCTCTATTGTTTTTCCTCATTTGACAAATGTGAGTTGAACATTAATTGTGGGCAGATCTAGGGACCCAGTGGGGAGAATCAATCTCCAAGTTATCTTCAACTTTTCCCTTTCCTGCTTTCCCTATGTCCTTAAAACACCCAGTATTAATTCCATAGAGCTTTCTTCTGGATCTGGCCTCCCTTCCTTCTTCCTGGCTGCTACCTTTGGTCAGGTCCTTGTGATGGGGATCACGGTTGTGCTCTCCATGCGGTAATCACTGAGCCCCCTCATACTGGGTCTAGTTCATCTTCTACGCTCCAGCCAGAGAGGTCACCCTGAAGAGCCCTTCTATGTGGGCTCAGAGCCACTATTAGCCAATAAGAAAGGCAACCCCTCAGGTGCATCCACAGGAAAAGGGGCCTCCTCTGGAGGTGGGCATGTGAGCGACAGAAAGCATCCTCTTGTTTGCACTGAAGCAGAAGCACAAGGGGAATGGTTTGCAAGCAGCGCCTGGCCTGGAGTTCAGCCCCGACGGAGTAGTCCCCGTGCAGGGCAGACCTGCACAGCTGTGGCCATATGGGCCTCCTCCATCTGAGAACTCCTGCAGGCTCCAGGCTTCGTAGAGGAACGAAGGCCTC